TTCAGGTTTCAAGGTTTCCTGGTATTTAGAAATTCTAAAACTACTAAAAAAAATATACAAAAACTAAATATTTAGTGTTTTTAGTTTTGCGGCCTTTAAAAAAAACTAAAAAAACTAAATATTTAGTGGTTTTAGTTTTGCTGCCTTTAAAGAAAATAGAAAAAACTAAATATTTAGTTGTTTTAGTTTTGCGGCCTTTAAAAAAAACAAAAAGACTTAAAAAAATTACACCACCGTAGACCCCAAACAGTTTGTGTTTTTTCAAAACCAGAACACTCTGCAACTAGAGCTTGCGACGTCCAGAGCTGGGAGACAAAGGGTTGCAAGGCAGAGGCCCACAGCAGTCCAGAGACATGTAGACACAGGGAGACAAATGTAAAGGATTGCAAACGACATGCAGCCCAAAGCTGTGTGACAAATAAAGGATTGCAAGGCAGAGGCGGACACAACAGTCTAGAGCTGGGAGACAAATGTAAAATTAAGGATTACATGGCCAGCGGAAAAGGGAGACACATGAATAGAAATGCTACATGGCCAGCGGAAAAGCGTGGACACCAGCAGTGACACAAAGGGCGCACACATCTTGAGAAAGAATTGAGAACCCCTACGGCAAACTGTTTGGGAAAAAGAGGAAACAGAAGGGAGACAAAACGGACACAATGACCAACAAGAAGGAAGACAAAAGGAAACAAAAAGGAGACAAGACGGACACAGTGACCAACAACAAGGGGGACAAGACCAGAGACAAAAAGAAACAGAAGGAACACAAGGGGGACACAATGACCAACAAGGAGGGAGACAAAAGGAAACAGAAGGGAAGACGGACACAATGACCCACAAGAAGGGAGACAAGACCGGAGACAAAGAAAGAATGAAGGGAGACAAGGCGGACACAGTGACCAACAAGAAGGTGGACACAGTGACCAAGAAGGGGGACGGAAGGCAGACACGCTGTCCGGCAGCAAGGCGGACACTCTTAGAAAGCATTTAAGACCCCTAACAGTAATTTGTTTGGGGAAGTACAGAAATCACCTGGGAGACAAATGAATAGAAATGCTGGAAAGGGGAAAAGGGCGGATGCCAGCAGTGCAGGCACCGAACCTGGAAAACAAAAGTAAACAAGCCACATGGGAAACAAATGAATAGAAATGCTGCAAGGCACCGAACCTGGGAGACAAAAGTAAAGAAATCACTTTAAAGACAAACGAATTGAAATGCGGCAATCTGTTTGGGGAATGAATAGAAATGTTGCATCGCCGGCGGAAAAGGGCGGACACCAGCAGTGACACACCTCGGAGACAAATGAACAGAAATGCTACATGGCCAACGGAAAAGGAAATAGAATAAATGCTACATGGCCCGCGGAAAAGGGCGGACACCAGCAGCGACAGACCTGGGAGACAAATGAACAGAAATGCTACATGGCCAGCGGAGAAGGGCGGACACCAGCAGTGACAGACCTGGGAGACAAATGAATAGAAATGCTACCTGGCCAACGGAAAAGGGCCGACACCAGCAGTGACACAAAGGGCGGACACATCTTAAGAAAGAATCACACCAACGTAGACCCCAAACAGGTGGGACAACAACGAAGCATTCCCAAGTCCACTTTTTGAGACATCAACAAGAAGGGAGACAAGAAGGGAGACAAAAGGAAACAGAAGGGAGACAAGACGGACACAGTGACCAACAAGAAGGGAGACAAGACCGGAGACAAAGGGAGACAAGAAGGAAGACAAGGCGGACAAGACCGGAGACGAAGGGAGACAAGAAGGAAGACAAGGCGGACACAATGAGGCCAGAGCACTCAGAGCATCCAGAGCTTACTGGGAGACAAGTGGGA